TTTCTCAGCTATATGGGTGGTACCATTTACTGACCCCCCGATCTTTCACAAATTCTGTAGATTTCTTATAACGATATAACAATAACATTGATACAGAGTAACAAAGAGACCAATTGACACCAAGTGACTTAGTTGATAGCATTTTTTCTCATCTTTAGGTTGACAGAATACGGCAGATACACTAATCCAAAAAGTCTACATGTTGATTTGAATGATATTATTTTGTTAACTGGTCCTCATTCATGCAGAAATTTAGTATCCTGTACACTGAATGTAACACATTCCTAGTGAATCTCTTTTGAATTAAACTAGACCAGATGTTAAAATATTCAAAGCCAACTCGGCAAATCAACATATTGAGAGAAGTCATTTGAGAACACCAAGGGAGTATTACTAAAAGTAATGGGATAGATAAAGGAAAGTGTAGGATGATTAACAAGGAAAATATCCCAACAGGTGTTTTAGAACTAGAGTTGATTGGATAATGAAAAATCATATTTGCAAAGATATTTGTGACTAAATGGATGATCTTGCTTCAAGAAGAATAGTGGCATAGGTTATTCATTATTCTTGAATTACTATCATTTGTTTATTCCAGTAGCACCTCAGGGTCCCAGTCAGGGATCAATGTCTCTATTGCACTATGCAAACATGCAGTAAAGCCACAGGGCTGGATGCACAAAAGAAAATGGTGCCTAAGTCCATGTTTTAGGCACCTAAGTCCCAATTTTGGGATCACTGCAAAGCACAAAACTCCTGTCAAAGCTCTGCAGGCACCTAAAGTCACTTGGCCCCTAAGTTTTCAAGGAGAAAGTTCCCTAGGGCCCTATGTTTCTGCCTCAGAGCATGCACACTGCCACCTAATTCTAGGTATCCAAACACCTGTCTTCCACCTAAGTCCCAGAGTGATTGACAAACCAAGGGAAGATAGGCCTTTGGCTGCCTAACTCACGTGCAGGTCCTGATCCGGCAGGTGTGCTCAGAGGCCACCTACCAGATTGGTTCCCATTCAAAATCTGGTCAGAGGAGGTGATGCTCACCTTATAACTTTTAGCCCAGTGGTTCATAGTAGTCTCCAAAGAGGTGAGAGACCCACTGTTCAAGTACTACACTTTAATTATAGTAAAAAAAAAGAGTAATTAACAATCAATGTGGAAGGTGCCATCTGGTGTCAAAAATGAACATTGAAAGGATCCGTTTTCCTGTTAAAACTAAGCAAGGTGAATACCAAGGTACTCATGATTTGGAAGAGAACCAAGATGAGACTTTTAATCCAATCCCACTAAAAGTATACTAGAATCTAGCTCCGCAGACAGAATAAATAGATATGGTGCAATAAGACCTAACTCTCCTACAGCACTTCTCATCTGTAACTCTCAGAGTGCTCTACAAAGGAGGTAAGTATCATTATCCCCATTACAGAGAGGCAAACTGAGGCACAGTGACTTGTCCAGGGTCATTCACGAAGCTAGTACCACAACCAGGAATAGAACCTATAACTTCTGAGTCCTAGTCCAGCGCACTGTCCACTAGGCAACACTGCATCTCTCATGGTAGATGACTGTGTCAGTGCAAAACATGTCTGATACAAACAGAAGTCAAGAAAGGTCAGGACAGTGTTATAATCAATAATGACAACACGCTGACATGATATTCTTTGTGAGATATTATAAAGGGAACAGCAAAGATGAACTTGAGTAAAGTTTCATATAGTTTATAACCCTATGACAGACAATCTCAGTTTTGTTCAGATACCTGTCCGAAATGCTCGAAGAAAAGATTATTTACAGAAAGATAGAGAAAAAACTGAAAATACACCTTGCTTGCAACAATCATGGTTAAAAAAACCCAACATATAAGATCAGCAAGGTCATTTCAAGTTGCTATAACAGCCAGACAGCAAGAATAACTGGATTGACTTCTGCCCTGTTTATGACAGTTTGTATAAAAAAGCAAATTCACAAGTAAGAAACAGAATATCTGAAAGATTTGTCAGAAAAGTAAGATGTGACTTCTTACATTGCCTCTTACTCATTTCTTACTTGTTCAGTGCAGATAACGTGTTTGGTGCCGTACAAAGAAATTTGTCTCTCGTCCTTGAGAGAAGACGTAAAGAATGTCAAAAAAGCTTTTAAAAACAGCATCAGACCAGCAGGCACAATTAAATTAAGACTAATCTTTTAAACAGCCTACTAAATACTGAAGATCTTATAACCTCCTATAGGGAAATATTCTGAAAATGCCGGCCAATTATTTATTTTTCCCTTGCTTATAAAAATATTTCTTCATATTATAATATTTGGCTTTTGGCAATCACTAATTGGCAGGCATTTTCAAAATATTTTTCTATTGGAGGTTAACCTTGGACTGCCTCTCCTCCACAAGCAGCAGATTAGTTAAAATTTCTTGTATTACTGTGGCATGTGTGTGTATATTCACACATATATGTGTATATGTTTTAATAAAATGCCTGATAAAATGTGTGTACAATGTAAAATTACAATGGTGTTAAAAGAACATAATTTAGATTGCAGAGTCAAGCTCTTGAAAGTTAAATAATTCCCAGGCAACCTGAATTCTGTCTCCTTTTGCTTTAAGATAGCTTTAAATAAATGATCACATACAATCAGGACATATGCCTCATTCAGTGCACGGGATGATGATGCTCAAGAAAGGAGGCAACTATTTAACAATTCTTTTTATCCTCATCATTCAATATGTGGCCCGATCTGATCCCTTATGTATTGAATGCCATCCAAACCCTGAATACAAAATTATTAATTTCCTTGCAGTCTCTTCTTTGAAACCCACAGTGACTGCATGTATAACCAACATTAATGAATGTATTTTCACAACTTGCCTGGGAGATAAATTATTATTATCCCACCCTCCAGATATCTTAAGTGATTTGCTCAAGGTCACACAATGAAACAGTGGCAAAGCCATGGTTAGAACTCAGTCGCCTGACTCCCATCCATGTGCTCCAGACTATACTGCCAGACTGAGAATAGTACTGAGCATTCACATTTCCCATCGACTTCACCTGCAGTTAGAGTGTCAGGCCCCAGATGCCTCAAGTCAGGTGCACAGGAAATGAGGAACCCACACTCAGTGACCACCTGTCAATTTTTTAGCTAAAATGACTTGCTTAGCATCACACAGGAAGGAAGTCTGTGGCAGAAATAGAGACAGAAGTTAATTCTCCTGCATATGGCTCATTGGGGATGGAGTTCTCTCTCAATACAAATTTCTTACTATTTTTCTCTCTTTAGAGACAGATTTAAAATGTGTTTCCTCCTCAGGCTGAACTGCAGCCACTGGGAGCTGCCGGGGGCCGTGCCTGCAGATGGTCAACGTAAATAAAACGTCTCGCGACCTGCCTTTGGATTACCATGATGGGCCACATGCTGAAGGTTGCCGACCCTTGCGCTAGTTTTGTTTTATATATTATATACATCTAAAGCCTTCTTTACAACAGTTTTTTTTTCCTTTAGGAAACTGTTAAAACTTTGACAGCATTTAAAAAGTGGGTGAAAACCAGCGTTCTTATCTACTGTTTTACATAAGCTGTTTTTTCCTTTTAAGTTAGCATGTGTGTGTCTGTGTGTTTTGTATAAAGTTAAAGATTTCATTATAAAAGTTTTTCTCTAGCAACACTTTAAAAATACTGTTTTTTAAAAAGATGTATGTGTTATCTGTTGTTGTTGTTGTCGTTTTTTCATTTAAACAAGGGGGGCGGGATAGCTCAGTGGTTTGAGCATTGACCTGCTAAACCCAGGGTTGTGAGTTCAATCCTTAAGGGGGCCACTTAGGGATCTGGGGCAAAATCAGTACTTGGTCCTGCTAGTGAAGGCAGGGGGCTGGACTCAATGACCTTTCAAGGTCCCTTCCAGTTCTAGGAGATAGGATATCTCCATTAATTTATTTTATTTAAGCCAAATAATTGTTCTTGTTAAACTCTGAGATTAGCACAAGAAGCAATGGGCTCAAATTACAGCAAGGGAGGTTTAGGTTGGTCATTAGGAAAAACTTCCTAGCTGTCAGGGTAGTTAAGCACTGAATATAAAATGCCTAGAGAGGTTGTGGAATCTCTGTATTTGGAGATTTTTAAGAGCAGGTTAGACAAACACCTATCAGGGATGGTCTAGATAATACTTAGTCCTGCCAGGAGTTCAGGGGACTGAACTAGAAGATGTCTGGAGGTCCCATCCAATCCTATGATTCTATGATCCTATTAAAAGTGCACATGACTGGACAGGACTCGGAGGGTGGGACAAATGCAAAAAAAGGTGTGTGGAAACCTGTCAAAAATACATGGTGATCAACCCTATCAAGGGTATTACTACTAGCCCTTATTTTTTTTCTCTTTTCTTTAATAAACTTTATTTTTCCTCTCTGTCTTTAATAAACCTTTTTTGCCTCTCTTTCTTTAAGAGTCCTTATTTTTCCTTAGTTTCCTTTATTTTCTTCTTTAATAACCTCCCTTATTTTTCCTCTCTTTAATAATCTCCCTTATTTTTTATCTCTTCTCAGAACCTGCCTTATTTTCTGAATTATCTAAAAACCTATTTTTCACATGTAAAATCACATGCACACAATCATCCCTAACATTCCCCATGGGAAAAAAAATAAAACCCCTATTTTCCCCCAAATGGCTGACCACACCAAAAGGGCATGTGACCAGATACAGAACCTGAGGACAGGATGTAAGGCAAAAAAGGGGCATAGAAACCTGTCAAAAAGACCTGGTGGTGAACCCTATCTTACTTACCTACCTTATCTTACCTACTTACTTTTATTGCCCTTTTTTACTTTTTCAGTCTTCAACAGTCCTCCTATGCATGTTATAAATCTCAAGAGAAAATAGTACAGTTTTGTATAATAATATGAACTAAAAATTTTCATCTCTCAAGTCAAAGAATTCTTCCACAGCCAACACCTTCATAACAAAAATTAGGTGCATTTAGTTAACCCACTTCTTTCCCTTTCAAATTACAAACCTTAATTTATCTGTTCCGGCTTTGTATCTTGAGATTCGAGCCATCGATAGAGGAACTGATAGGGTGTCTAGCCAGCGCTTCTCATATTTTGGTTCATTAGCTATGGGTGAGGAGGGCGATGATGGAGCCTGTAGAGAATAAATGAGAATCAGTAAGCACAGTCTATCAGATCATACAGTGCAGAAAGCATGGAAATGCATCTGTGGCTGTGCGCTCTTTAAAAACTAGTAACATATAGTAATATAATTGTTAAGAAACAGAGTTTAGGAGAGAAATTAAAATAAGAATTTATGTGAAAACAAAACAGAGATCTTGGTGCTATGCCTGTGTTTTGATTTTATTATTTGTGTGATGTAAAATCCATTAATGTTTTAATTAAAATGTAAAGCCCACTTCTAATTAATTATACAAATACATTCATTTTAATGTCAGTGATTACAACATAAAATCACTCCAGGATAGAACTTTATTTGGAATGTATTTGTGCTTTCCTTTAAATATCCATACACAATTGTCAAGAAAAAAACAGTGCATAAAATATATTGAAGTAAGGCCTACTGCAATCATGCAACAAATTCTGAATATACTGATATATTGTGACATTTACCCATGCCTTCATTTAGCCACAGATTTGAACATCCTGAATCACATGTTATACCTAAGGCAGGAAAAATCCATATATGGACTAGTAAACTTTGTGAGTTTCAGTTTTAGAGTTTTGTTCAAAACCATTACTTGGGCATTTTCTCTCCCGGAAGAATTGGATACATGGATCCTGGGATACCTGCAAAAGGCAGGACCCTCAACATTATAACAGCAACATGTGATGTGCATCAAAGATGTTCCAGATTTTTGAGGATCTGGGTAAAGTGGAAATTATTGTTGATCTACTGATTTTGGGTGAAAATGATCAGCCCCCCAGCATTCCAAAGGAAACCTTAAATTAAACAGGATCAAATGCCAGCTAAAAACTGAATTATATTAATAATTTAGGACACACATTCAATGACAAAGGAGCTCAAATCAAACCTAAAGAAAGGAGGTTTTACAGAGACTCATGAACATGTTAACATGTCTAATTCCTAATTTATCACAATGAAATCCTTCATTTGAAATACTGCATGAAGATGCTACAGAATGGAACAGGAATGATTAAAAAAAAGAATTCTTTGGGGAATTAAAAAAGTTGTCACATAAGCACAAGTACTGAAACACTTTGAAATTTAAGAAAAGGCTCCACATTTCAGTTGATACAAGATCACATGAATTGTGAACTGTTCTTCTGCAAAATGATGGCCCTGAGGTATATACTTCTGTAGCACTCACTAAAACACAATAAAATTGAGCTCAGATTGAGAAAGAAAAGGTGGCAATTGGTTTCGGTTGTGAGTGATTTCATGAATATGGTTATGGACAGCAATCAGTTGAAGCACAAACAAACTAGAAACTTTTGGAAACCATTGTTTGAAGCACCACTTAGATTTCATAAAATGATCATGAAAACTGAAAAAGCACTTAATAAATGTGAAATACAGAACCAGCAAGGGGCTTCTTACAAAGCACCAAAAAACAGTGAAAGTTATCTAAGATACTTACTGTAATATTGAATATTTCACAATTTTTATTTATCCTCACCACACCCTGCTGGGGGAGAGCAATGCTATTTCAAAGAAGAGAAAATGTGGCATGGTGACGCTAAGTCACTTGCTGAAGGTCATATCGAAAATTTGTGGCAGAGCAGGGAATTGAACCCAGATCTCCCAAATCCCAGGTTATTTATAGAAGAGCTTCAAGAAGACAATTTTGATGTAAATATGACTCAAGTAGTATCCATTTCTAAACTAATATCAAATAGGAAACAAAATGACCCAGCCTGAGCATTACCAACACTAAGCATTCATTAGTCAGATTCCCAAAAAACTAAATAAGAACAAATAAACACACCTTAAAATTCATGACTCTTAAAAAAAGTAATACACTCTGGGTTCTTTTTATTTGTGTCTGCTTTTTGAGCTTTTAGTCTTCACATTTTTCAAGCTTTTCTCTACAATCAGCAGGGCTAAACACTTATTTTTTTTTAAAAAAATCAAAGCTGTATTCTCACATAACAACAGGCACCTTAGGAGACAAGGGTTTAAGAAGAACACCAATTACCATGGGACTAATAATAAAATTGATTGGGTTGACAACACTGCAACCTACAGCAGCTTTTAGATTGTAAAACTCTTTGGGGAAGGGAATGTCATTTACTATTTGTGTACAGCGCCTAGCATAATGGGGTTCTGGCACGAGTGCTACTGCAGCATGCATATTAAATAAAAATACTAATAATACTATCTTTAGATAGTAATTCTAGATGACTATCCAATACAAAAACTATGCATCCTGCCATCATAAAAAATATACTGGGACCGTTGGGATGAAATTGCTACATACATTGGGATTCTGTATACATGATATTGTGACATATCTCAGTCCAAGATTGGAAATGCTAACTATAATTCACTGTATCCATCTGGACATTGAGAAATGTAAGAATAAAGTAAAAAGTCTGTTGTGGCTAAGTCCGACTGATGCCTAGTGTAAAATGTGAAATAAATACAGGAAACAGAATGGAAAAGAAACACTGAAACCACATGAAATTCCCAATCACCTTGGTACAAGATTGGAACAGAGCTATTTGAATTAAACAACAATGTTTACAGTAAGTTCTTTATGGACTACTACTTGGGTTTACACATCAGTGTTGTGGCGACACATAAATTGATTTGCTCACCATGAGATTCCAGCTGAATTATTAACAGAACTCACAACTCACAAGTGGCTCACTCAGGCAATTTTCTTTAATATGTCAGGCATTCCTCATCAAGACCTTGTTAGATGTCAGTTGATAGAGTAGAGAACTTGATTTAAGCAAAACCATGGTAGATTCAAAGGACCTACATTTTTCATTGTTAGACTAGCCACCTCACAATGCTTCATTAGGTTCACCAATTCAAACAGAAGGAAAAAAATATATCTTTATAATAGGATCTTTACTTGAGTCAAGGACAATTAACCTTTAAGTTAAGAAACTAAAATCGAAGAAATACTACAACAAAATGTTAAACAATTACTCTAATTGCAAATGGGAGAGACTGTTAAATTCTAAACTGAAAGTGAAGGCAGATTTGCCAAAATAACAGTTGAACCATCTACACAAAGATTGTAACTATCCCAAAAATAACCGACGACATCTAAACAAAACCAGAGAGAACATTGGCTCTCTCTTTCATGAGGACATTCAGGATGACAGAAAGAACAGATGTCAACTCATTGACAATGAAAAACACCAAGAGCAGTAAACAGAGTCTATGGTTGTTGGATCCACCTCAGCAGTGGAACAAATTATTCTTTTTGTTAACTGGCTGTATTAGTTTTATGATGGCTATTACTGATTTATTTGCATTTAATTATTTTAAATGTGGGGGTTGAGAGAAGAAGATGCAACAGTAACCACTAGACTCCTGCCATGTGACTGAGGTATATGATCATTTGTAACCATGCACATGACCAAAGGTGTCACACCTTTGTTACACTTTTAGCTGCCTGGGCTTCTCTCTGCCCCAGAATAAATCTGGTTACTTCTGGGCTGTTGTGTAATTCTGACCAGTGGCTCCACCTCCACACATCATTCTCCTCAGGCAGGAATGGCTGCCATGTAGCAAGAACTACAAACATTGACTGTGTGGGGAGCACATGAGAGAGAACAGCAGCTTCCTGGACTGGACTGTCTGTGTGGAGACTCTGTAGCATATAGAACTAGAAAGAGAATGCAAAGGAGCCACAGTAGTCCCCATTCCATGGGTTTACTTACTAACAGGCCACATTTTATAACCCAACACACACTGTAGTGGAGGATAGAAAGCATCCCTCTATATTTTTCAGAAAGTATATTCTATTTCCTAAGAAAATTGTGCAGACATATTAAGATCCCCTAATACATATTGTAGTCCTTCAAGCATATTTTACCTTGTTAAACAAAAGAAAAGGAATGGAGAATACCATCGTGTTTAGAAGGCCCATGATGGCTTCACTGGGCTATTTACACAATTTGGAAAACTCAGAATAAGATATTTACTTACCACTAGACTGTGCACATTGCATATAGCCATAGCATATTCTCTGCATAGCATAGCTCTCTGGCATGTAGGGGGAGTGCACAAACTACTACACACACATGGCTGCCGGCTCTGCAGGGGCTCCATGCCTTTCCATGCACCCTCGGGAAGCAGGGAGAAATGAGCAAAAGCTTTGGTATCTGATTAGAAATAACTGTCATATCATAACCGGTAACTGGTTAAAAGATAGGAAACAAAGGGTAGGAATAAATGGACTGTTTTCAGAATGAAGAGAGGTAAATGGTGTACCCCAAGGGTGTGTCCTGGAACCAGTGCTGTTCAACATATTCATGAATGATCTGGAAAAAGGGGTAAACAGTGAGGTGGCAAAATTTGCAGATGATTCAAAACTATTCAAGCCCAAAGCAGACTGCGAAGAGTTACAAAGGGATCTCAGAAAACTGGGTAACTGGGCATCAAAATGACAGATGAAATTCAATGCTGATAAATGCAAAGTAATGCACATTGGAAAACATAATCCCAACTATACATATAAAATCAGGGGGGCTAAATAAGCTGTTAATCCTCAAGAAAGAGATCTTGGAGTCATTGTGGATAGTTCTCGGAAAACATCCACTCAATGTGCAGTTGCAGTCAAAAAAAGTAACAAAATATTGGGAATCATTACGAAAGGGATAGATAATAAGACAGAAAATAATATATTGCCTCTACATAAATCCATGGTACGCCCACATCTTGAACACTGAGTGCAGATGCGGTTGACCCATCTTAAAAAAGATATATTGGAATTAGAAAAGGTACAGGAAAGGGCAACAAAAATGATTAGGGGTATGGAACAGCTTCCATATGAAGAGAGATTAATAAGACAGGGACTTTTCAGCTTGGAAAAGAGATGACTAAGGGGGCGTGTAATGGGGCGGTCATCCCGCTCTGGCCCTGAAGGGGTTAAAACAGCCCTGGGAAAGGGTTGCCCCGGGGAGCCAATAGGGTAGGGTGATTGGGAAGGC